ACTTTCGAGTTACGCCCTGGCTTTGCCTCTGTGTCAATGTGAAGCAAATCTTCATCGGATGAATCATCACTCTGCAAAACCAAGAAAAGGGTCAGAAAAGGAAAACTTAGTTATCCAGAGGGACACAATAGTTTTTGCAGCCTACTGATCTCCTATAGACACAGAGCCAGCCTCCCTAATTTGTTCTACTTAAAAAAAGAAAAGGGACAGGGGAAAGGGCAGGAAAGACACATTATGGCTTAGACTGCCAGTTATTACTCAGTGCAGGAACTGGTCCCCTTCCTCAAACATCTGTCCAGGGGTATATGAGTGTGTTCTCCATTGCTCCCTGTGTGCTGTTCTCCAGACTATCTACTGACTGAGACAGGTATAGCTCTGCATGTGCTCTTGAATATCCCAAAATCCCTGAGCCAAACCAGGAGGACACAGATTCCTTAGCTCTTAGGGCCAAACATTATAGGCACCTGCAGTTCTGTGTTCATCTATTTTACTTTTTATGACTGACTCAGATACTATAACATGGAATTATAATCACCATAGCTGGGCAACGCATTTTAGTATGCTGTTTAATTTTCAGCATTAAGCTTCAGAGCTAATGCAAATAAGAGCTAAAAGCAAAATTAAGCCTGTGTTTTTAAGCTTCTTAGAGGTAAGCTATCAGCAGGCACAGTAATGCTGCAAAGACTCTTCCGGTGCTTTAAGGGACGCATGTAAGTATTATACTGAATGAAGGACTTTCTAGATGTGAGCCCATAACAGGCAGAGGAGTCTGCTAAGTGCTAGAAAATAAAGCCTTTAATTAATACCTAACAGATATTAAGGGTTTCCACTAACATGAAACACCAGTGATGTGACTTCAGTTTAACAAAAGCCTGTACAGAGTCTTTGCTACAGGCATTTACAGTACTGTCCTCTCACCTTTCTTGGGCAGGATGTGGACATGTCTGGTTTGCGATTTAAATTCAGTGGGGACTCTCCCGGGTCACACTGCACATCTACCATTAAGCAAGTCTTAGCAGATGTGGGACAGCATCTGCCAGGCACTTTTCAGTTAAGGCCCCATATATTATTAGAGACTTAGAATGGATGCTGGCTTATGAGAGTTAAAGAATAACCATACCTTGTATGATACCGACTCCACCTTTGGCTTCTTAACAGGAGTATGCTGCAGAGTATCTTTTTTATCTGATAAAACTGGGAAAAAAATAAAATAAAATAAAATAAAATAAAATAATGGAAGGACTCCCCTTTCTCTTCAAAAAACAGCTCTCAAGCTGCACCTTCAGAAACAACCTAAATACATTTATATTCCACTTACAAACATTACTTAGTTGTATAGGAAAAATAGAAAACATTCTTACAGGGCAGTTCTCTTTTTGTAGTGTTTTTCTTTCTTCTGATTGGAAATTCATCAATTTTTAGTTCACCATCATCTGACACATATTCATACTCATCTCGTACAGGTTTTGCTTTATCTTCTTTAAAATTCTGCAGGGATCCAAACACACTAGTATTCAGCTGGGTTTTGACTCCCTTGGAACTGGAAAAAAAGTTACAAATCAGAAACAATACTCTTTCTGAGTGAAAAACAGCTTTCTTTACACAAAAATCTCAGTCAACTTGAATACTTTCAGAAATGTCACAGCAATTCAAATCATTTTATAAACACACTTCTGTACCTACCATTTTTACCTTGAAGTATGATGCAATCTAAAATAGTTCTACTGGCTGCAAATAAGATCTTGTTTAAAGCTGTCTCAAAGTATAATACCATATGTGTAATGCACACCAAACATGGAATTCTGGCACACACAGGTTATTTGACAGTTTCTTTAAATTTTTTTCTGAATATTATCTGAACAAGAATATATATACACACACGCAGGAAAACTCAAACTAATAAGAACCCAAACTGCCAAAAATTAGATGCAGCCTGTATTTTGAAGGCATTATTTTCAAGCAAACTCCTAGCTTTCAAGATAAATCTTTGCTGTTATGGCCAGAAAAGTTAGATTCTAGATAAAATCAATTCCAGAGGCAAGAACTTTCTGGATAAGTACTTTGACAACAAATAATCACAAAACTTTTTTCCTCTGTTTTTTTAGCTGATTGCATTGCCATATTTTTACTTACCCAAGCAGCTTCTTATTAGCGAAAGAGAATGTAAATTTATTGTCCTTATGTCCTGACAAAGGTGTCTTTTCCAATTTGTGTTCCTCTTCCATTTTTAGTAATGAATCAGGTTTACTGTTCTGAAAAGCAAAAAATACTCAGTAGAATACAATAAAACTAGGCAAACCAATTGTCAGGATTTCAGATTCCTATGTGACTTCAGGCACTTACTGAGTGGCCCAGAGAGAATCTACTCTTCCACAACATGCGGGTAAGTAATTGGGGTAGAGTTTTATTGTGCCCATTCAAGGAGTGCTTCAGCACCAGCTTAACTTTAAGCATTACCTGATGCGAAATTTAAGTGCTCCTCTCTTAAGTTGGTGCAGACTTTGGTAAAATACTAAGCAAGCATTGGAGTGAGTGAGAGCACAGGGCAAGTACCCTGCTGAGCAGCACGGCGCCGCGCAGCTCGGGACAGCATCCAGCCCTCTGCACTGCACTTCCACAGCCAGTCCTGCTTGCTGCTTCCGCACTTTCTGAAGAGCTTGAGTTATAAATTTAATATCAAAGTCTTTCAGTGCAAAGGACGTATTTGATTACTTTTTAAGAATTGTCCTAATACTTTTCTAAGCTGTATTGGCTGGGCAATTAATTGGTGTATTGTCAATCTGATCACATTGACTGTGACTGGTTTTATCACAAAAAAATTAGACTTCTCTGTTGAGGAGAGGAAGTCGGGATCCTAATTAGCTTTTCCCACAAAAGCGGTTTATGCTTTTGTTTTCTTTTAGATAATTTATTTTCAAATATAGGCAAACTCCAGGCAGCAGCTATTTCTGTGAGAAAGATAAATGTCCCCTCGCTGTAAATGGAGCTTGGGAGAAAACTGTTCTTTTCCAGGGATGAATTTTACTAAACTTCCATCAGTTCTCCTGGGAGGGAAGCTTTAAGTTCATATGGCATGATTCAGGTTTCATTAACTCTGTATTTACACTGTAATTACTTATTGATTTCTCTGGAACTTCTCCAGATTTAAAGTAGTGGAACTAGATAAGAATAAGGACTACAAACCAGTTCACCACTGAAATATCTTGTTCCTAACTCTGTTCGCAATGGTTTCACCAAGAATAAGGATGGACAATTCTGGACTTGCTTTGAAAAAACAACAAAAAAAATAGTCACACCTCCTTTATCAACAAATATTTGATTATTTTCTGCTCTTTTTTTTTTTTTTTTTTTTTTTTGCTTTATGAGATGAAAATCAATGGACTGTCCTCTATGTTTAGCTAGCGCCATGACCATTTCCTCATCCTTAATATATCTCTATATTGCAAAATTAGCAGAACTTTACAGGAGACTTTACCTTATATTTCCATTTGGCTTCTGTTTTGCTTTTATTCTGCTCTCGAATTTCAAGCTTCTCCGCCTCATTCTGCTTACTCACAGCTTCCTTACTGGGAACACTTAAAACATTCTTTGTGGCCTGGGGAAAAAAAATAATAATCATGGACTGTTAATGAGGAAGGAGCTCTGTCATATTACCATCATTTTACAGAAATGCATCTGTTTTATCCAGAATATAGCATGAAAATTTTGAAAACTACTCTTCTGACTCATTGTTTTTGACCCAAAATATGAGGTTCAATCAAATATTGGTATTTCAGAAATGCAGAAAATGCATTTTTCCTTATCACAACCTACAAAGTTACTATAAAAAAGTGCTCATCTCCCTGTCCATTGCTCCCTGATGGGTTTCACAAATTGCATACAAACCCCTAGGAAATTCAGGTGCTTTTAGAAAAGTCACATGAATACTTTCTTAGCAAACTGCATACATTAGATTACTGTCAATATATCAGTGAAATTCTGGCCCTGTTGAAGGCAGCAGCAAAATTCACACTGAATTTTGTCAAAAATGACACAAGTCCTACATGAAAAAAAAACGAAAACAAACTATTATTTTACCTTCATTCAGCCTTCCAGAGCAGAATCACACTGAAAAAAGATGCCTCAGAAATGAATTCCTCTGATAACTGATTATGGAAATGCACACCAGAGTGCTAACAACACTTGAACTAGGAAAACAATAGTCAAGAATAACAAAATGCAATTTCAAGAATATTTCTTTTAATTTTCACCTCACCTTGTTTTGCAGGGGAACGTGGCAGCGGTTTTCCAGACTGAGCTTGAATCAATGGGTTTCTTGGAGGCCCCATATTAAAGGAATAACTATGCAAGAATCAAAGCAAACCAAACCCAAATGACAAGCTGGTAGCTACAAGGCTCTCCTTTGTTTCAGAGGAGCCAAAATTGCACACTTTGCTGATTCCTTTTTTATTTCCACAGGATCTAAAGAGAGATTTGGTCCCCACTGAGGGTGAAACGTGACCCACCTTGCCCTTCTTTGGTGTCTCGATCTTGGTCAGCGCCTCCTTCGTGTGTGCCTCCAGCAGGTCGAGGTTGGGGATGGCTGGTGGCGGACTCTCCTTCACCTTCTTGCCTTTCTTCTTTCCTTCTCCCTTGACTTTTGGTGTTTTGGGAGGCTTAGGGGGTTTTGGTGGCTTGGGGGGTTTGGGGGGCTTGGATGGCTTCAGTTGTTTAGGGGTTTTCACAGTTTTTGGAGTCTTTTTTTTGGGGACTTTCTCTACAGGTGGGGGAGGAGATGGAGGTGTCACTTGGACAGGTGATGGAGCCTCCTCCTTCTCCACAGGACAGATCTCCTCAGCATTTGTGTTGGCACTCGTGTCTGCTTTGCCGGCTTTCGAAGCATTCTGTAATGCAACAGAAGAGGAGAACACATTCAGAGTCCTCCTCTAAAGACACTAACCCAGCACAGATCCCACTTCCAAGCTACTTTTATTGCTCTTGGAGACCAATGGATGCTAAAGGGTTGCAAGAACAGCTTGGAACTGAAATTAGACAAGACACATCCTTTTAACAGTGATTTTTTAACCCCTGGAATGAGACTTGTGTGATTAACATTGGAAATTTTAAAGCCAAGATAGGATGTTTCCGTAAAAGGTACACTCAGCTGCAAAAAGTAACTAAGTCTGCCAAGTCCTAGGGGTGGTGATATGCAGGAAGTTGAACAAAATGATCATAACTGTGTATCCTGGCACTAAAAATAACTTGTAATTATGGAAACATTCGGCAAGAGAAAGGGTCGCTTAATTAAAAGGTCTCTAAAAAAAATACAAAAAAGAAACTGGTACCCCAGAAACTTACCCAGTGCTATTTACCTGAATAGAAACACTTAGTGCTGTTATTTGTATATTAAAAGGTACTTTATTTTCCTAAAATATTATATTTGCAATACAACACTTGTCCAGGTGGGAGGCAACAACCAGTCAAACAATCAGCTGTGCTGCATGCACAGAGAAGTCATGTTGCATCCAGACACAACCATTAAACAAGCGATGTAAAGAGCTCGTATTGTGTACCGGGCTGTAGATTTTTGTTCCTCAAGACAAGCGATGTAAAGAGCTCGTATTGTGTGCCGGGCATCGCATACAAACGTATGTATAAAAGCAATGGTCTTCTGCTTAAAATACTAATCAGTTTGGACTTGAGCCGTTTTAAGTTGATTCAGCTGTGATAAATGCAGTAGAACCATGTTTAATGCCTCCAGGTAAAATAAGCAGTAAAATAGCTGCTCAATTAAAATTAACACTGGCTAATTAAAAAGAAATTATTTTCACAGAATCACATTTTCTGTTTAACTTGCCATTCTGACCATCAGAAAATGTACAGTTTACACCAAAGAGGATAAAAGGATGAGAGAGATTTCAGTTACCAAGTCCTAGGATGGCGTTAGGAAAGGGTTGCACTGCAGCACCATGTCTTCCCCAAACCCAGCTGAGCTATTGCCATCTTTCACTGTCACACACAGGCACCAAGTGCAATGCAGCACTTACTGGGTGATATCCCCATGTAACCCCTTTATTTATAATTAGTATCACGCTTGCTATAACAAATTTACCTAGAAACCAGCCAAGAATGAGACCCTGCACAGGATAGACTGAATAAGCAGCGTCATGGACAGGACTGGTGAACAGCAGCCACCAGACCGTGACCACGACCTGCACGGTGGCAATAGCAGTCTTTGAAGTCTACTCTATTTCTGGGTTGGGATAGGCTAAAGAGAAACCCAAAGCCTGAAGGAAGCAGGGAATGTGGCCAGTCCAACTACAAAAAAATGTGTGAGAAGGAGTTAGGGCAGGAAGAGGGCAAACAGAAGCCCAGAACATGTGGTCTGTCAACCACGGACAGGTCCTGAGCAGTAACTCTACTGCTAAATCTTACAGCAGTTCTGTTATGAACAGAGTGGGGAAAAAAGAAGATTAATTTATTTCAAGTCTTCCATTTTATAGCCTAGTATATTAAAAATGCATGTGTCAGTTAATATTATGAAAAGAGCACAAACCTCACTTAATCTTATTTCTTTGGCAAGATCCTTGATAAGCTGTGCTGGTTTGAAGTTTTCTGGTAGTTCATCTTCATGCTCTGCTAAAGCCTAAAACAGAACAAAGCCAAGGTGTTGTTTCTGTGCACACCTTTTGCAAATATACAAAACAACTCATTAAGTGACACATCAGTATTTCTCTTATGGAAGAATAAGGAAAAAATAAGGAAAAAATGCACTTTTCCTCTCATCAGTGTGTTTTGCTGCTCCCTCAAGACAACTACTTACAAAGTCAGTAGCCTTTTTCAGATATTATCAACCACATTTTTGCAACTGTAACATCAGTCTGCTTATCCCCTCATATGAGATTCTGAGGAATTTATTCTCTACCCCTGCAAGGAGGGTTTGTCTTGGGATGGAGTCTCCAGTGAATATAACAGGCATAAACCTAATCAGCAGAGCGGTTTGAGAGAGTTCTCTGGCAGGACTAGCAACATTTGCATTCACATGACATGTTATAATATTCAAAGTTTAAGGTTATCCAACTGCCAACACGGTCTGACTTCCTTTGGCTTAGTATTTAACATCTGCTTAGCAGGTGGAAAAATAAACAGGGTGACATGGAGAAAGAGGCTTCCATGTCATTTATTTTTTTTCAGTGACGCAACAGTCGGATGGTGATAACTGCTATAGGAAACGAGGGAATGGCTCTGAGTTCAGGCTCAAACACTACCCTTTTACTGTAGGCAGCAGCCAAGTCCCTAACTATATTTAAATCTGGGAGAGCCACCCAACAGGCCTAAACAGTGAATGGGACATTGAACTCAGTGCCTTTTCTCTCCTCAAACATCTGAAAATCTTAAAGCTGCACAGATCTTACTTTGAAAATTTGGGATTCTTCAGCTATGCTGTGATGTGCCTGAAAATTCAACAGCTCTGCTTAAGGAAGGGAGCAAGCAAACTGGCAAGCAAATTAATCTCATACGTGCAGTTATGAAATGGTCACATCCAGCAGTCATTACTCGGCAGTCCATAAAAGCATGCTGAATGATGAGTATTTTACCGCATTTCTATTGTAAGCTATGCTTATAATGGGAATAGGGATGTCTTTAGCTTTCAGTTGACTGCAGGAAAAATTATATTTCAGAAATCTCTGCTGGTGGGAAAAGTCTCCCTGACAAGATCATTTTGCAAGAGCTGTTTGAAAAGGATTTTATCTTTCAGCATGAATTTCATATTCATTACCAATCCATCACATACCCTTCAGCTGACTGCACTGGCTTGTTTAGTGTAGGAGGAAACACTACGGCATGTTTCTTTTTTTTTTCCAGATGAAATAAATCAAGGAATTACCAATGAACTGGAAAATGCTGCTCTGATTTACACTGGTTGATGTTAAAAATTGTCAAAATCACTTTAACATTTACACTTCTGGGGAGAACTTCTATAGTGGAAGTTAAAAAGAATAGATAAACACAAATCATAAATGGAGCAAAACCAGGTATGGTAAAAGAAAGAAGCAGCCGGGGAAAACACAACTATATAGAGCATGTACAACTGTAAGATTGGTGCTGCTCACGATGTTCCTCATGATGCGTCTTCCCCTCTGCATCACAGTGTAAATTTATAGCAGGTCAGTAGTTAATAAAAGCTTTCTTAAAACTCTAGTAGTACCCTTTTTTTCTGCTGAGTCCTCATGTAGCACTATGAGTTCCCAACTGTCTTCCTCCTTTCCTTCTCCTTTCTCCCGGTCTCTACTCTTTGGGATTCTAGAACTACCTGTTTTGCTATGGAGACACTATTTGTTCTAGTGTTTGTTCTCTGTTCCAGTGACTGACAAACCCATCAAATCCAGTCTTTTCCTACCTGTTTTTTAGTCCATGACCTGAAAGCACCGTTGAGAATTTTTGCTCCTTGGAGTAAATGAGCAGGAGGCTGTTGCCCAGCTTTGTGCAAACCTAAGGAGAGGAAAAAACAGTGCTATTCAACCATTGGGAACTACAGTTGTTTTACATAAATTCCTTAATTTGAAGAAGATCACTACAAAGGTGTCTCTGTTATAATTTGATGACAATAAGGTGTGTATTTCCTGGGTCATAAATCCAACTCAGCCTTTCTATGTTGTGTTCCTATGAGTATGTCTACATTGGAAATCATTCAAGTTCCTATAACGGTCATATACTCAAACTAGCTTCCATGTTCACACATCCTAGACTGAGGAAATAAAAAGTCACTGCCAAAGGTTTGTTCTTTCTGTCTAGAAAAAAAGAAAAGAAAAGAAAAGAAAAGAAAAGAAAAGAAAAGAAAAGAGAAAAGAAAAGAAAAGAAAAGAAAAGAAAAGAAAAGAAAAGAAAAGAAAAGAAAAGAAAAGAAAAGAAAAGAAAAGAAAAGAAAAGAAAAGAAAAGAAAAGAGAAAAAAGAAAAAAAAGAAAAGAGCAAGTATCAATATGTGGGAACAAAGGCTATACTGAAAGAAAAGAAAAGAAAAGAAAAGAGCAAGTATTAATATGTGGGAACAAAGGCTATACTGGGCAACATATTCTACTCTTTTGTGAGTGCAAGATTATCTAAACTTTCGTTTTTTAAAAATGTTTTTGTTCAAAGTTGGTCACAAGGGGGCCCCCTTCCAGGATACACTCAGAGGAGTTGGTTAACTTATGAACTAATTACAAACGAATCTGGGAAGTTTCTGTAGACAAATTCTGTAAAGAGAAACAAAGACAAAAGCAAAGGCAGCCTCCATCTTTAACACACACACATATGTGGATGTTTGGATGAACTCTGATCCAAATAACAACAAAAAAGCCCAAACTCTGAACCTGATTTAGAAGATAGTGAGTTTCATAGAGAACTTTGCTTTAATTCTTCATGCTCCAGCCACATCACTGATGGTAATATGAACTCATGTATATGTGACTGGCCCATGTATTTCCACCAAATCAGAAAAAAGTATGACAAAAGGAGATACTACTCAATATTCTTTGTGCTGACACATTGTTGACAACATTAGGTTGAAAATAGGAATCCAAATCTGATAGGCAACTAAAGACTTTCACTATCAAACATAAATAGTTGATTACAACATTATTTGCTTCTGAGGCAATTTAAATGCATTTTATGACAATGACAAAACCTTCGCTTGGGCATAGATAAGAAGGACAGGCAAGGTCCTTACCAGAGTAAGGCGGCAGACCAGTCTGGCAAGTCCTGTCATATCATAGCACTAGGGCAGGCAAGCTCTATTTCATGAGACACTTTTAAACTTCCCAGCTATATTTCTCCTGACTGATGTTAAAGTAAAATCTTCAAATACTAACAAGAATGATTTTGGCCTTCATCCACAGAAATTAAGAGCAATGCTTTTCACATCCTCAAAGTCAAGCAAACAAGGCAAGCAAAATAAAACGCCATTTTACCTTTGAATGTCTCTAGTAGATGCTTTCCCATATACCAACATGCAGTCTCAAAGTTTGGAAACTGGGTCAGACTGACAATTTTCAATCGTCTTTCTACTTCATATGCCCTGCAATACAAAGCAAAATGAACATAGCACATAGCAGGTCACAAGCACACAGCACAGTGAAAAGCTCTGCTAATGAACATTTTGCACTGCTTCATTTCCTTGCGCTTTTTTCTGATTATTCTGGCATTAGACTAAAAGGGTGAAATAAAACAATCCTAGTAAAAAACTGTAAGAAGTAGATATAAGATTTATTGCACTCTTTGCCTAGCAGCAGTAAAGGACAACTTCTACTGCCTAATACCAGGAAAAGAGGCCAACAGGGCAGGTTAGGACATATTCAGAAGATGAATAGCAAGTTCTAAGCTAGACCTCCTTGATGGTTTTTAACTGCCTTCCTTTGGGATTTGGCCACATCCGTGGCCACCTCCCACGTCCTTCCATGCTCTACGTGCTAAGTGTAAGGACTCCCTAAGGATACCTCAGCGCGACAGAGCACAGTCGAAGGGGGGAAAACATCGGTACTCTTTCCAAAACCATCCAGCAGGGTTACACCAAAAACTTGACTGCAAATGTCAGCTAATTATTAGGCAAGAGAATGGGTAATTTATTAAAAACTGAAGCTCAATCTAAATTCAAGTTTTAGAGACAGATTACCTCATCTGCATTTCAACACTTAGACTATGTAGAAAATGTCCTGCAAAGGCTAGGCAGTCTATGGGCGTCAGAGTTGCATAAATCCACCCTGAAAGAGAAAGAAAAGAGTCTTGAGAATAAAAACTGGATTCATAATATTTTTTTTTTCTTCTCATAACAAGATATTTGCATCTCACTTAGTTACTAACTTCATAGATACCAATGGGGCTCCTCTGTCCAATTCAGCACTAGAACTTCACAGGCTTAAAACAAACAAGAGAAAAAAATCAACCTTATTTTTCACAATACAAAAAGTAGTCCAGGAAGTTGCGATGTCCCAGGAGTACCTTCAAGTGTGGCAAGGTAAAATAGACAGAAAGGAAGGTGACATATTGCTCAGAGTGCCATCGCCGAATCTACCCAGCAACCCAATGAATCTGGGACAGGCTCATCTTCGGCCTCATGGGGAACGATAATGTACAGCCAGCCTGGCACCTCTAGCCCCTTAGGGTCATTGGGAACCAATGGCTGTGAAAAGGGTTTTGTGGGGCAGGTCACAACAAGCAAGTGATTCAACATGAGTTCTCTGTGGGATACTGTGGTAAAACATGCCAGTGTCATTCTTGGACACAGAAAGACAGGACTCTTGAGTTACTTCAACTCGACTCGAAGAAGAGTGAAACACCCTATTGACTGTATTTTGTAAACATTGATGATATATTGAAAGAAAACAGAAAAACATCTGATTTTTTTTGTAAGCATATGAAATGAAACTTCTGAGAATTGGACTTCAGTCTAATTCTAGACTGGATTCAGTCTAGTCAGAGAAAGGGCACGTGTTCATATCACATTCTTTCAATAGTTTCGAGATGCCATTTCAGTATTTCTAAAGCAAATGGAAAACGTCACCTTTAACAGCCTACTCACCTGATGGAATGAAGAGTGTCTGTCCTTGTTTAACTGTGCATTTGTAACATTTATCTACTTGGTCTGCAAAAAACATTTCACTGTGGTTTGCTGCTGATTGCCAGCGTTCATAAAGGGAAATATTTGCAGAGGCTGGTTTGATAAGGTAAAATATTTTTTCTCCCTGAATTAGAAAAGAGGCAATTAGCAAAGAGGAGTCAAAACGAAGCAACACCGCACTGATATGGACACAAAATTACTCGCATATATAAAAATAAATATTTTATATGTAATAGTTTTAATTTTGCATACATATATAGTAATATTTAAATAAAATTTGCTAGTCAGTTTTGTACAGAACCATTGAAATAATGAATTGACTAGCTGATCACACTTGTTCAGATTCCTGTGACAGCTGTCAATGGCATTAAATTCTGTTACCCTGAATTGCAGGATTAATATGTGCCAGATTTTAGAAAGACATGCATGTGTGGAAGTTACTGAAGAAATACTCATATTCTACTATAGTGAGAATACACAGGCAACTTTGCATGACAAGATGCTTCTTTGCTCTGCAGAATCTAACAGGATTGAGCCTATACCCGCCTACAGCACTTGAGACTCTACACATTTCTCCTGGCTACAATTGGATCTTGGGAAAAAACATGGAGAGGACATGAATCCTAAGGAGAATTTTAGGAAGGTCTCAGGATATAACATTTAGTATGTTACCAGATATTCCACGAAAAAAAAAGAATCCTCACCTTCAGGACATGGTACCACGCAGATGCTCCCCCAGAATCTATGTGGAAATCTGTGTAGCTGTCCTTCACACAGATCAGGCAGTACTTGGTGACTTTTGGTTTAGCCAGAAGAGCATCATCAGGCCAATAGTTTTCCACCCATGACAACTTCTTAACTATATCTGGAGGCTCCACAAAACTGGACATCCTTTACAGAGAGAATTAAAAACGAATAGTCAGCTTTTTTAAAAAAATGAATGCAATAAGTCTGATACAATGAAAAGTTGAGTCTGATTCTCATATCTGTATGACAGTCTGAACTCCATAAGTATCAGTTGGAGTTCCCTGCTCTTCATTTAGACTGCAGCAATTCAGAAAATCTGTGAGTCAAATAGAAATGAAATCTTCTCTTAAGCATAATGTTTTGACAAGGATTCATTGATTTGCCACAGTAGCAGTATGATAAGGTATTTGCTGTTTGTATTTTTCTAGGTCCTACCTACTGCTATGTCAGCTCAGTTGCCAATACACTGCATCATCCCCACTTCTCAAAGTACCTTCAGAAGAACAACTGAAAAGGAGGCATTCTTGTAAAACTGGTCTGTTAAATCTTAAATATTAATATTTAACTTGCACATTTTAAGACTGCTAAGCTGATGGTGACAATCACAGTGATCTTTTTTTTAGACTGATTACTAATATTTAACTTGCACATTTTAAGACTTCTAAGCTTTTTTCTGATGGTGACAATCATAGTGATCTTTTTTTTAGACTGATTATACTTCATGAAAAACTCTAAAGCAAGAAAAAGTGTAATTTGGGTTGATCATTTGAATCTATTCAAATCATGGCAAGGACAATATACTGGCAAAATGAAAAGGTAATAAAGGTAATGTAAGTATTTCATCTCAAATAAGATGCAATAAACTTTATATTTTAGTGGTATGAAATTTGGACCAATACAGACAATACACACAAGGGATGAAGATGTACTGCTAGAAAATTTTAAATCTACTTCAGTGAGAGTATCTGCACTTCAGCTTAAAATTAAGTGCTCCCACCAGTCATTTAGGCTCACTGTCAAATACTGATAACAATAGCACTATTTAAAAAGGCACGGAAAGATGAAGCACTGTATTCAATTAAAATGTTACTGTCTATGTTAAGAAATAAAATATTTGCTAGTTAATGTCTAAATCAGCAGCATATGAGTGACAGCTCCAGCAGTCCTTAAGAACAAAAGATCCTCATTTATTCTGCAATAGTAGCAGAAAGCTAAAAAATCTCTACTGAAAATTTTGGTAATATTTCAAGCTTCTGATCACTATAGATGCTTTCTGCAGAAATGGGTATAAACTACTAAAATGCTAACTACAAGGCTAAAAGTTATGACTTTAAAAATAAATGATCATTCTAATTCCTCACCATCAAACATCAAAAGTTTTTTAGATTAATGTAAGCCTTCTTGCTAGAAGAGAATGCTTCCCCCCCCAAAAAAACACTCTTTATTTCTTTTTCTCCATTGTCCACTCTTATTTTTTTTAATTTCTTTCATTTTTTTTGTGTAGCATTTGTATAAAGAACTTTGCTCCATAGTATGCTTTGTTTCTAGAAGCACTAGTTACCCAGAAGGACTAGAAGGACTGTAAAAAGGATTACATTGTTTACGCATCTGCCTTATTCAAGTGATAAAAAAAAGCTATATAAAGCACACGGCAAAAAGCAATCATTTTTATTCTTAGTCATTTGGCTAATTAATTGTCTTATTAAAAGAATGCAGTATAAAACTTGAGGAGAAGAGTAGATTTCCTATTGTGGAGGAGAGGTAAAATTCGCACAGTCGTTACCACTACATCTAGCTCACTGCGTCACTGAAGTACCTTAGCTTCAAATTCAGAGTTATTGTGCATATAGTTTACACACACACAACAACTTTCTGTTGTGCTGTTAGCACTATTTTCATTCTGGATTACAGTCATACAAATTGCAGGTTAATTTTTAAAAGCACTTAAATTAGAACATTTATAGTTAGCATACAATTACAAATTACAATTATTCTGCACTTATTTTCATTAAAAGAGGCCCAGAGAAATGTTATGCCACACCTAAAACCATACCTTGTCCACTTACGTGGTCTCCATAACGCTAAATGGAAATGGATTTCTAAAGGCTATATATGATACAATCAAAATTACCATTACTCATTGCCACTGTTCTAGAAATAGCATGCTCTGCTCACTGCTGCACAACACAAAGAAAAATGCTCTGAGGACATCACTGTGTTAAAAGATCACTGAAAGCTGGGGAAAGGCTTATGTTACTCTACATGCATCAAAATTCCCATCTCATCCCATCACTGAAAAGATAAGATAAACCTGAGAGGTACCAAAATGTTCTGTTGTGGTGTATGAACGCTGGTGATATGCTGCCCACTACATACCAATCTCCTATAGTTAGTAGAACTTTCACTTCTACATTTTGTATAGACAATGCAGAGAAGAGTTTGAGCAACAAGAAAGCAGCATTCCAAGCTTAAGACAGTATTTCCTAAAGAAAGAATGCCAACGGAGAAGGAAGAGGCTGTTCAAACTCCATCAGCGAGACCTGGTGAAGTATCCAGCCACCTCACCATGCAGTGAGCTGGACAACTTACCTAGTGTCTGAGAACTCCAGGTTAGTCACGTTGAGGACTCTTTTCCTGTTTGTACTGTAGTAGTAATCAACAAATTCCTTTAGCTTCATCTTGCAGTCTTTCTGTTTGGTGACATCAGTGACATCAACACTTCTCTCTGGTCCTAAAAATTAATTCAATAAAAAAAGAGATTAAAGGGCAGCCTTATTTGGCCCATTTTATATCTTATGGGTAAGTTAATATTGCAATTCAATCTTTTTATTTTCTGATCATATTTGTATGTGTGAGTGTATACATATATAGATACATACACATATTTATGCCCCATGGTATTGATTTCTATAGTTTTTATATGAAAATTACTAATGTTACTTTGAATCTATTCACTTCATCACAGAATTCATGCTCAGTGACAACTATATGCAAATACTTAGAATTCCACAAAGTGAGTCCTACCTCCACCCTGCTGTAAAACTCCTGTGATCATAGTGCAATACCATAGAGCATACCTTGTCAAACTCATTTTTCAAAAACATTGATTCCATTATTCTCTAGTCAGGATTTTATTTATGAAATCTATAAATGAGGAGAAAATTTTTCATTTAAAAATGATATTATTTCAGGTGCCCCATGAAAGCATTGACCTTTTGTTGTTTTACTTAACATTACATCAAACCAAAATCCACCCGCTCTGTATTTGAATCCAAGGAATAAGCTGCTAGTACTTGCACATTTTCCCTAACAACTTGTCAACAACAGCTTGGATACAAATCTCCGGAGTTAATACTAATGGTATTAATCAATTAGATCAGTAGAGTTTTATCCAGGGGAAACCAGAGGAGACATGGAGAAAGTCAGAGCCTTAGGAAGAGTGACTGTGTCTAAGCACCTTCTCTTATCCCTTTCTGCAAGGAAAGCATCCGTCCAGACTTTCCTCTCTTCAGTTTTAATTGGCCTTACTTTCCCTCTTCCAGAGTTTCATTCATCACTTTCTTACATTAGGAGAGAGAGGAAATAATTTTTTGTTGTTGCTGTTGTCAATTCTCTTTTTTCCAGAACAGAATGCCAGCACAGTAATGAGGTACTTGGCAGCCTCATCTCCTCCGTTCTGTCCTCTGCCACTTACTTGAGATTGTCTCTAAAAGACACTCTAGAACAAATGTAACAAACTACAAAACACTAAAGCAGTTCTTGCCTGAGAAATCTCACTGAAGGCAACTAACCACAGGGAGGTTACACCAGAGCAGATTTGTTCCACTCACTCTAAAGTCTGGTGCCAACTTTAGAACAATCTGTGTTCTTCTCTTTGGCTTTTCACTAACTTTGTGTTTGTTTGTTTGTTTTGTTTTGCAGGGGCATATTATTTCAGCTAGAGGCTGAGAAAAAGCCAGCAGATGCCTGAGGAACACCTCGGTCAAACAACAAAATCTGCTACATATAGCAGATGGGCAAGGAAAATACATTTCCTGGAAAGAAAATGGGAGAGACAACAATAAAATTAGGTCTTGAATTCTCTGTTATTCGTAGTTATCTCACTGCACCCAATCACTGCAAAAAGGAATGGAGATGGACAGGAGCACCCGTGGCTGCTGGTAGTCCCCATCAGTTTGGGGACATGACCAATGGCCTGGGAAGGCCGGTATGGAAAGGTCACAGACTTTGCAAGGGAAACACAGACGTATATGTTAGAGCAGCAGTCATGGCTCTAAGGGGATGATAAGTTGCCAGAATACTGGGAGGAGAGAAAGTCTGACAAAGTGACACAGGAGAGGAGTGAGAAAGAGCAACAGACAAGATCACATAGCAGACAAGTGATCTCATAGCAGTTACATGGCTCCTGGCCAACGTCTTCCGAGGGATGGGATGACATGATAAGCAGAGAGAAGAATGCATGCAATGCCCTGCCCAGCCTGCACACAGGAGCACATCCCAAATGATTAGTAGCAATCAAAAAGCCTCTTTCTATGGACTGGCACCAGGTGTTAAAATGGTCTGCCTTTGCAGAACGGGAATCTCAGTCTAATAATTCTTTCAACGCAAAGCAAGATGGCAGTAATCAATTAAGACCTGGCCTGAAGAAACAATTTTTGGATACTGCAATGACTGTTTATTTTAATGGCATACTCTGGAGTACAATTCAGGCTGGCTTAGGCCCACTGTAAGATAAGCACGTTGGTACAAAAGTGAATTAATTGCTAATTGCAATTTACCATTACAAAATGAAGCCTGAAATCCTCATAGCTCAAGAGGTGATGACAATATTTTATAGTAATATAACCTCCTTCCTAATTTGGCCATAAAATACACATACACTGCCCTTCTTTCCCCTCATGAATGCTCTCTGCAAATTCTCGTGAATAAAGTGCTACCACTTCTACTGCGAAAGGTGACATCCAGCCATGGCAAGCACCACAGTTTTACAGAAAATGTTCCAATATAGTTAGGCTCAGATACCTGACAACCTTCATTAAATTATCCAAAATATTTTTGTTATTTAACATCTAGTTGTCCCTCTACTCTGCAGCTGGCCTGCACTGGAATGTCACCGTTTGATTGCTGAAGAGCCAGGGTTCACCAAATCCAGTCTTCCCTGGAAGCACCAGAAGATGAGGAATGAGAGCTCTGCCAGCCCAAAGCTGAACAGAGCAAGTGGCTAAAGAGTTCTGCTCCCAAGCACTTGTCAAGGGCCTCATTAAAACAAGTATCAACCAAAACAAACAAACACCGAATTGCTCCCGAGTTGTCTTCCTTCTGTACAGAGGGAATCAAACCGATTTTTACAGAAAGGACAGTTCCAAGATCCCTCCCATTTCTCTCCTTCACTCCTTTCTCCTTTATTCCTCCATTCCCAAGGTGAATTTGAAGTCAAGCTCAAGCAGTTGGCTGGGCATGGCCCTAGAAATGAGTTGAGCACTACTCCGGACAGGGGTGCAAGTTTCCCAACACAGACATAAGTTGAAAAGCAGCAACTGAGCTCCAAACAGCACAAACACTCTTGCTTGCCGGGTACACACCGACGTAGTTTTCAACATCACTGACGTAGAAGGTGGGCGCAGGCATGGACAAACCCAGGCCATCCTTCTTCGGAACGAGGATTGGTTCTGTGAAGCCATTTTCTTCCAAATACTCTGTTGTTAGTTGGCTGCCTGGCAGTTTTGCTACTATATCTTCAGCACTAAAAAATAAACAGTATTTCAATGACAAAGTATTTTCATGCCCAGCTGGCATATTCTACATTTCACTACTGAAAGGGAAAAGTTATGAATAAGCAAGAGTAAACTGATGTCAGCTATGAGAAGTCACTACTTGCTGATACTGTGTGTGGTTTTGCTCCACTTTTTTGAAGCATCTAGGATATGCTTAGACCTCTATTCTCTTATTTGAAAGTTAAAAGCTTTAATTTTTAGGGAAAAAAAAAAGACCAATTTTTTGAAGTGCAATGGATTCTGGACATCTAGTTCTTAACGTCTTTATAAATGCCATCTATGCTACAATTTCGGTGTGTTGCTATAAGTGGCTGTACTAAATACAGGTAAGTACTAAATACTCATGAACTCTGTACTCTGATAACTTGGATCCCCTCCTGGCTAACATCTCATTTCATATATATAGAAACAATATACGTTTATTCAAAGTCTACCAATAGCATTTTCAAAATAGCCATTTTCCAATACAGAGATACATGTAATGCCAGCAACTGTAGCCAAAGCATCTATTGGTCACTGAGTGTACAAATTCATGATAGCAACATTTTTTTTGTCATTTTTGGCAGTCCTCAAATAAACAAATTTCCAACAAAATATTTAAAAATTCTTAAGTCTCGGAAAATTCAGAGCTCTTGGAATTAGCTCTTGGAAAAACAGAGCTAAAGATCAGTAGTTGCCTTGTATTATTAGGCTACATGGTGTTTTCTGCTCTCATTCAGACCTGCTCAGCTCAGGTGTCAAACAACATTTTAGTAGCACTTTGTGCTCTTTTTTTTTCTTTTTTTAACAGGCTTGAGCAGCTACACGGGATACAAAGCTGTGGCGAATGGGCTCTCTTTGTGCTAGATGACTAACTGTTTTGTTATGAACTGTGCTAAGGATCAGTATTAAATGAAAAAAAAATCAGTTATTTGCAAAGTAGATGCAGAAGACAAGAGCCATAAAATAATTCATTACCAAGTACTTCAAGTGTACTGGAATCAATTCGCTCAATTCAAACGCGCCAACTACTGGAAACTTCTAAAATTACAAACTATAGTGAAAGACTTTCTCATGCAAAAGAAACTGTCAAGTTATCAGTGACCAATGACAAAGAATTTAGCATTAGATATTCCAGTTTAAAGAAGAAAATATTGTAGACATTACATAATTTCAAACAAATTGCTTGGGAAATATTCTGCAAATACTTTTCAGGTGGTGGAGAGGGCTTTAAAGCAACTAGTAGAAGAGCAGGTTTATCAAATTATCATCTATTTAAACCAATAATTTTCAACAGAATTTCAAGTAGAATTTCTAGATCCTTTTCAAGAGTAAAATGTTTTAAAATTCAAAGTGAAAAATAACTACACACTAGATGATTACCTGTCCTAAAAGCGCTTCAGTGAAGAAGTTGTTTGTTGCTTCTCTCCCTTTGAACTGACTTTGGTAGCCAAGTAAATACTTGGATTTGTGAAAACTATTTTAGGCCTTGAGCGTTCAGGTGGAGAGACGTCTGCGTCCTCCTGCCTGGCACCCAGGAGCCCGGCATGGGCAGGCAGGGTCACGCGTTTGCTGGAACCAGGGAAAATGCCCAAGCTGGGAAGGTTGGCCCCCAAAGCATCCACGCCAGGTCCCTTCATGGCTAATACGTGGCTGCCCTCTTCTGCGTTAGCGCTGAATTACAGCTCGTGTCTCCGGCCGCTCGCCAAAACCAGGAGGCCGGCAGGAAAGGTGACAAGGCTGGAGGCTTTTCCCAGCTCAGACCAGCACTGCCTGCTCAGCACTTGCAGCCCATTAAAGCATGAACAAACCCAGCCTCCCACACGCTTTACTGAGGGAGCTTCTCCTTTTGCCAGGGCAGGAGCCTCCCGGTTCTGTTTCTGCTCAGGTAGCTCACGTAAACACCCCTGCAAGCTCTGCCGTCCCCTGCCTTCCCAGCACTCGTGACCTGCAGCAAAGATGTGCGATTCAGGCTAGAATACGTGAGAAGTATATTAAATACATTATTTTAAATGCATTCCTTAACTAGATAGCCATGCAGCAGAGCTTCCCAGGGGGAACAAGACGGCTGGACCCAAAAAAGGGATGAAATCTAGACAAGAGTTTTGGGTCATCTGAGATGCTTCAAGGCAACCACAAAACTATCTTCACAGATTGCTGTCAAAGGTGAGCAAAGGCAGCCAGAGAGTCAGACAGGCTGGCAGCAGCATAAAACACAGAGAATTAGGGGGATACCCCCGATGTTCATGGTGCTGATCCTGGTGTCCGGCAGGTGGTTCTGAGCCATGGCAGGATCATAGTGTTCTCCGTTTATCTAAGCACCAGTACTGCACACCAACAGCATGCAAGGCTGTAAATTTTGAAGAATAAGCAGCAAACTAGGGGAAAAAATCTCAGAAGAAAACAACATTCTGGAGAATCAAGTCCTTGACATGTGCTCCTAGGGCTCAACACTTCTTCGCTGTCCCATAGTCTCTATACTAGTTTACGGAGGGTTTCCTGCCCTAGAGAACAAGGATAGCTCTTGACAAAGCAGATCCTAATGAACTGAAGCTAAACTCCTCTTCAGCTCCTGACACTCTTGTAAAGTAATAAAGAGGAGGGGAGCATGCCACTTGGGAACAGGGAGCATGGATTAGAACTGCAGATAGTGACGGAGGAGAACGTGAGACTGAATGACTCGAATTCCTCTGCCTGATGGAAAGCTCTAGAGCACAATCATGAATTTCAGGCACCTCATCAGTCTAAAATGGCACTTGACAGGTTATTAGAGATATGTCTAACATATCTTGACACTGATCTTTATTTGGAGAAGCATAGAAAATGCTCTAAGCTAAGATAGCAAAAGGCAGGGGATCAAGCAGCAACTCATAGGAAGCTGCAGTTAAAAAAGGTGTTGGCGGTTTTATTTTATCCCTTGTGTAGATCCTACTTCTGTCTCTTCTCCTGCTACATCTTCCTCTGCTATCCCGGTGAATATGTTCTATTCAGTCTAGTCTTGCAATGAATTCTCAACTTATGCAATATCGATTTGCCACTAAACTTCTGCACTTATTTTACAGTGGCGGTACACACCTCATGTAGAAGGAAATCAGACTTGAATAAGTATGTGGCGCAGAAGTCTGCCGTGACAAGTCTGACACCTACACTGAAGCACCTGAATAAACAATCTAATTTTATTATTCCTCCTCCTCCTCTAATGTTGTTTTGGTATTTTAAAAAATGGAAATCAAATTCCATGTTAAACAATGTCACATATTCTACTGAACTCTGTTGGAAAAAGATGCCTTTTGTTATTCTTTTCTCCAAATACTTAACTGAATGTTAAATAGGTGCCAAATGTTTTCACCCACCACTTGCTAATCTTTGCTAGCCCTATATCCTATCTGTTCAACTCTGAAGCTTTTCAGAAATTACTATCTCCTCACATGGTAGTTAAGTCTTGATATTTTCGAAGAGACTACTTTTAAAAATATTACTTTAACTGTTTTCCAGTTGCTGTTTTCTTGTTTGTTCATATATCAAACAGAAGACATTAAAAAAGGTAAATATTTAATAACAAAGCATAAAAATGATAGAATTAAGTGACTTAAGGTATGAAACATGAAAACATGTTCATAAAACATGCTCTCTTCACTGTTCCTTTCAATCTGAGTTACAAATTACTACTGTGTTCTGTGAATTGATAATGAGCTTTCTGTCTTCAAAGCAAGATCCCTTTTTGGGTTCATCAGATTCTGACTGTCAAGTTGGGTTTTGGTCTGTGAACATCTGCAGATTTAATTTGTTTTCTCTTAAAAGAGAAAATTTCTCAAAAGGACTTGGCTTTACTAATGCCATAAAAATAGAGGCCTGAGGTCTGACTGTTGCACGGACTCCCTTCCCCACCAAAACGTCTTTTTCAGGAGCTTCACACTGGCAGTAGGGATTTTCCTGTATGTGTATGTAAGTGGGAAGGAAACGAGATAAATGAAGGTTCATAATTTTCCAAACCTGGGGGTGACTCAGAGATACTGGTTATGTGAGTCCAATAAGATGCAACCCTTCAGACATTCAAGCACAATACATATACATATATGTGAGATTCTGGGGTTTTTTTGTTTTGTTTTTTAATTAGAAAGAAGAATGAATTCTTCTTTCTTGCATATGTTTCACTAAGGTGCTGGAATCATCAGCTGAGGACACTGGATGGCCTGGGGAAGACAATCCCTAAAAACAACTGCAATCTTTTTGGAAATAAATTTGTCAGTTTAAATGGGACCACTTGATTTTAAGCCACATTGCTGGTTTGGACTTTGTGCAAAAGCTTAGGGTTTGGGGTTCAGAAGCCCTTAAAATCTGCAATTGAGGAGGTCACCCTAAATTACTAAAACCATTCTGTCTTTATCCTCTTTCATTAAATTAGCTTTACAACCTGTAAAGTTGCTCTGTATACAAAAAGCAAAAGAGGATTAAAAAAGAGAAGGCAGAGAAGAAGAGTGGGAAGAAATAAAAAAGTCTAAGTCAAAAAACTAAACAGACCCAAAGGCTGTAATTAAGCGAATAAAAACACTAGGTCCTGAATTTTAAGTGAAGTATGTATGTAAATGCTGCAAACACTCTGTGGCAGTTTATTTTCAGCCTCAGACCAGCAGAACAACATCTAAAATTAAAAGTGCAATTTAAGTCTCCATTAAAATAAAGAAGTTCTGTGTTTACCAAGAACAAGCTTCCAAGAATTCTTTAAAAATAATTAGTCACTAATAATTAAGGATTTATTTGGCTTAGACCTACATTAAAGAGCCAGAGGAAAATCATTCCTCTTAGAAATGGCTGTGAAGCAGCCTAATAAAGCGTGGAAGATGTCACCTAACAATCAGCACTATTCATTACACCCGAGAAGGAGGCCTTTGTCCCTGCGGTGACTGAGGATGTCACTGTTCTCTACTGTGCGGGACGGAGACAGAGCTCGGAAACACCCCGGGCATTTTGGAGAACTGGACAGTTCTTTGCCATAATTTATTAGCTTCTTATTCAAACACGTTGTGGGGGCCAAATACATTCTTGTGTTCCTAACATTCTCTTCTACATTTCTTCTATTCGATAAACAGCAGACTTCAATATGGTTGCACAAATACAAAAAAAAAACCAAAAAAAAACAACAAAAAAAAAGCTGGAGACATTAGCAACAGAACAGTGTTTACCTAAACTCCACCTCCCTGTGGTGCAGAAGGTTTCAGCGAGGACCATGACCAGCTTCCTCTGAAACCAACCACACGCATCACAACAGCAGCACCGCTCAGTTACGTGGCTGAATAACCTACCTTGGAAAAGTACGACTTCGGAGTTCCTTTATAAAGACTTGACTCCCGTTCTGTACAGGTTTGACCTCTGTAGTTTGTCCAGTATCGTGTTTGTGCCAATTTCTTTTCTTTTTCACTGAAAAAGAATGAATTGGACAGCACCATATGCTAAGTAGACAGTAATTAAGACATTTGATGGAAGGACAGATCTTCACAGCACTTCTTATGCAAGCGGAGAAGAAGGAACCCCTGCTATGCTGCATTGCAAATTTTAATATTGCTCTTGATTCTCCATTAGACAATTCTCCTGTAGCCTGAAGAGCTATTATATACTGAACGAGGTTCCTTTTGAAACATAAGGGCAACCAGACGGATAATTACCAAGCTGCACAGCTACCACGGGCTTTGTGCAAACACGGGCTCTGGACATCTTGCCTTTGCCAGACTACACACTAGTTCTTTATCACAAAACTCTTAGAAAGCCACTATTCTGCTTTTTCAACGTGTACTATAAATCTTTATGAACATATTTATCCTGAATTACCTTAATCTAAATGTTTGTTCAAAAGTAAGCAGCAGATATAACATCAGTCTTGATGGACTTTGAATTATGTGCACATAAAAAGAAAGAAAAAAATATGCAAGGACACAGTTTTTAGAACTCCTCCTACTCCTGGGTTTCCAGCAGCCCAGCCTAGGCCGTGTTGACGAGACCGAGAAGGCGGCCCCTGAACAACGTGCCCAGTGGGTGGCAGAGTACGGGCAAGTCCGTCATGGAAAAAGCTGGAGCAGCTGGAACGAGCACAAATAAGCCACATGTCAGCGTAACTCTGCCTTGCCTTTTTGAGAGGCTGATAACACAGAGCAAGAAAACATGGCCAAGTTTTTCTTTAAGCTGGTCTCTCAGTTATTCCTACTTTCAGATTCTGTTTTGACTTTTTTTTTTAATTGGAAATTGCAGAATCTTCATATGTCACAACTTTCTTTAATTTTTTTTTTAACCCTTCTTTTACACTGTGAAACTCAAAGTTTTGTTTCAGCCAAGATGCCTTAAACTCCTCTTGCTGCTCAGACAAGAGGGGAAGGACGCAGGCTCTCTGGAACCACGCATGGGCAGCACGCTTTCTCCAGGCTTTGCAATGCACACCCACATATCCACATGCTTTTTCATTAAGAAACAAACGTGGAAGCCACAGCTAATAACACACAAGGTCCGGAAAATGTTAACTTTGTTTTCTTGACCACAACCCTGGAATAACTTGAGTAAAGACACCTCCAAGCGAATCCATCCCAGGTTTTGCACAAAGCATGTTGGTTTTATTACTTCCATGCAGCTCTCCAGCCTAGCTGGATATATTCATTAAAAAGGCTGGTTCTTTATCTTAATGACTCTCAGGCTTAGCGTATTAATTCAGAGCTGCTGGTAACAAAGGGAAGGAGCCCTCCACCAACACCAGCGCTTCCTCCCGCTCCGCAGGTCAGCTCCAGCACCGGGCTGGCAGCACGAGGCCCGGAGAAGCAGGTGTGCTGCTTGCCAGAGCAAAGAGCAAAGCCGTGGCCATGTAAGCAAAGGGAGTTTTATATTCTCAACGTAGCATGGAACGACAAGGAGAAAAAGGAGGAAAAAAAGGCAGAGAACTGGCCAGCTTGTGCTTTAGGTCCTGTCTTTACCACAAGCACCACAGCTAGGACTAACAGCCACTCACACATGTGAGAAATACTAGCTCTGGACAATGAGAAGGAGCATTTTTTCTTAAATGATTTCAGATTTCTTGTTACTTTCTGCAGAATTTTGTGATCAAAATTTGAGCTTTCAAAAGTAAACCCCTCTTCTCCAACAGATGCTCCTCAGGAAGAAAAAAGGAAACATGTTTTTACAAAAATGAAACCTCAAAATGCATAATTCTAGACTTCAAATATACGCACACATTTTTTAAACTGTATTTACAAAGACTAGAAACCTAGAAGCACCCTGTTAATTCTTTGTTTTTATTGATTTATTTAATACAGTTTCAGCCTGATTTAGTTCACTCACATCTATATAACTTAACTGATTCCAAGGGAATTTCTCCCGATTTTCTCTGCTCTAAACAAGAGCAATCAAATCAAACATTTCAGATTGTGTTATGTAAATGACTGGAGTCTGCCTGAACAGAGCACTTCCATTTCTTTTAAATGACGTCAGAAAAATCTTTGTGAATGCGGATAATTTTTCCCAAAGAGAAGTCCCTACAAATTTCATTAAGCTGAAATGGCTCCGAAGGCCACGTGACAGGAAGCAATCTTCTGAAATAGTAGCCACCAAGCCACATTGGTAAAGTGGAAAAATGTAAGAGGAGGGAAATGATTTTTTAAACTTGACATCTGGAAAACATACACTGTGGAATGCGTGCTCCAAAAAGACACATGCATTTTTAAATCCAGACAAGTTGCATAACAGACAATTGGTGCCTGTGCTTTCCCTTGCTAATCTTGCAATAATTAAATCCTGCCAGCGAATTACTGGCTCTCGAACAACACTTACTCGTTTCTTACAAAACTGATACTGCTAGATAACTAGGTTGAACATATACTGCAACAGTTAATAAGCAACTGAAATGGATTATCCTGGAGAAGCCCCAGGAGGGGCTAAGAGCAGCGTGCGCAGAACGCGCTGCAGGCAAAGCTTGACGGGACGAGCACATTAAGTCAAACTGTTCCTCCCTTCATTTAACTGGTCTTTTAAGTTTTCCAGCCTTTTGCACTCCGCAAGGAGGGGCTGCAGGATAGCAGCCTAATTTTTCAGCAGGATCTATGGTTATGTTTGTTAATGGTAAAAGCTGCTATACATCTTGAGAACTTCTCATCTTGCAGCTCACCAAGATTCAAGGTAAGATAATCCAGATCTAATGCTTAAATATTCCTGCAAATTTTTATACTCAACTGCTTTAATGATTGGTCTTGCACATAACTAAATATTTTCTTTACTGTGTTTGTAAGAAAAAAAGAATCATATTGTTATACTGAAAAATGACATAATGGTCTGCATTTCTACCACACTGATAGCCTTATGTATTGACAAGACTATAATAGTGACAGCATTCCAATACAGCACATTCTACAATGCTGTACAATTCAGATTATTAAGTACATACTGCCAAAATGAGATCTTATTTGGAATAAAAAGAAGTGGAGAGCCAAATACATTTAAAAGTTAGCTGAGGTTCAGCTCTCCCTGGCATGGTTTGTACATTAAGCTTACCATCTTCTTATCAAAACAACCACTGCTGGAATTCTAACATTATGCACCACTGTTTCTATAGGATTTGTATTTAATTCTTGATTACAGGCTCTTGTTAGATCTGTCTGAATTACCCCCCACCCCATCACACTGAAAAGTAGGTGCCTATCGTCATTAATAATTTAAAGGGAAGTAGAAGAAATCAAAGCATCAGATACATATCAATGTTATACAAGACTCTCAGAGGCTAGAAACCCTCTGCTTTTCTCCATACTGGGTCAACAACAGCCTCGAACTGTTTGCAGTCATACTTCCCTCCTCAACACGAGCCATCCTACTGGCAAATTGTTCATTTTAAGATGATTTGTGGTTATTTGTTTGACCCATTTCCACTTCATTTGTCAGAAAATTTCCTACAAAACGTTAGAAAGACTGATTCATTTAAATCAAAACATTTTGCGGAGACACATTGATTTCGTTAAGTCTTTCGTGACAAACCTCTCAAGAGGTTTTTTTTGCCAGCTCGGCCAGATTTGTGGGTGCCTTGGTTTCCACCAAAGCTGTTAGCACACAACCACCTAGGAGAGAGGAACAACTGCTCTAAGTAAGATTTCATTTCGAAAAAGTTAATACGGAAAAGTGATTCTATTTTTGGCCCCCAAATGACCTTCTTAGACTTCTCCCCTTTCCTGACAGAGATTTTTTAAAATTCCATTTTCAATGCAGCTTGTTTTTAAAATTACAGATTTTTAATGCTACAGAAATCTGTTTCTAGCCATCCCTTATTTCTCATTGAAAATTAAACATTCTGATTCTTTCAAATACTGGCACAGATCAGCACAATAACCTTTCTCTGTAAGTTGCCATAATGTAGAAAAACAGTTAAAAAAACACGCACACACACACATAATTCCTGCGTATTTGTAATAAACAGCTCTCAAGAAAAGCTTTTTAAAAAAAAAAGTGATTGATTTTTTCCCTCCATTATATGTTAAAAAGAATTTGTGAATTACTCTGACCTCAGCAAACACATCCTACATTTTTTTCCCAGACAAAACTCCCACCAAGATGAACTGTCACTTTTGCTTAGGAGAACTTTTGCCTGTGAAAGAGCTGCAATACTTGGCAGTCTCAGTGCATCTTACAATTTTGACTGCCACTGAAATTGCTACAGTTTTCTATCTAGGCCAAGCATAACATACTGTTTCTTATTCTTCTTATCAGAAGATAAATACATTATATAGTTTCTAAAAAAAAAAAACTGTATTAGAAGTAGCCTGTATTAGTAGTAGAATTCAGCTCTCCAGATGTTTTTATCCCCCCCACCTCCAATACTATTTTTACTTTGGGCTTGAATTCCAATTTTTATGACATAAGCTATTTAAGTGTGTCTATTTATTAAAAACAGACAACACAAAAAGTTGAAAAAAAAAAAAAAGGAAAAAAGATTTATTTTGCTTAAACATAAAGAATCTATTATCAATATAAGCATACTCACAGGTAGACTTTCCGTGGGTCTTCTCACAATTAGGACAGTGATAGATGTCAATATCTGGCGCCTCTTCTTCTTCAACACCCACACAGCTGGAATAAAGACATTACATTGAGCCCGTTTCCAAATATGCCAACATTTAATTAATAACAACAATAACAATAACAAAAAAAAGAAAAAAAAAAAGAAAGAACACCCACCAAGCTGTGCATTTAGTATGCAGCTATGCTGGCTGCTGAGGGCTATACCAAAGCGAAGCTTCGACGCTTTTCCCACACACACGCACTGAATTTTTTGCAGCCCACATTCCCAAAGCACCGTTAAAAGAGGTGTCATTCTGAAGCTACCAGCTTGCTGGGGATCTCCTTTAAGGTATGGTAGAATGTCCCAAAGATTCCCACCACCACCCCCAAAGCGACCATTTTGTATCTACCTGGAGCTCTCCAGGCACCCTCCAGCATTAGCTAATTAACAAAGCGTCTCCTTTCCCGAGCGTGTACAGACAGCTGCAGGTCCCAGCGTAACCCTGGCAAGCCACCCCGTGTGCCAGACTGCCACAGGCCCCATCTCTGCTGCGATCACGAGGACGAGGAGGGAAGGGGGGCTCACGGCGCGCGGCTCCGCTGGTGCCGACACGCGGGTGTCTCGCGGCAGCTCCCTGGAACACCCACCGGGACTGTTTGCAGTGCACAGCCCTGCGAGCAGCCAGCGCGGCCCGCGGGCGCCATCCAACAGCCGGGCTCAGCGCCGGCGGGAAACAAAACTAGCGAGGGCAGTATCCGAGTTGAGAAGCTCAATGGTCACAGGACAGAGCAGCCAGACTAATAACCCAGCTGGAGAGCAGCACTGCTCCTTCACTGCTTCTCTAACCGTCTACCGACGTAAACCATCTACCTGGCTAAACAGACCTCTACGCAGGATTTTTTTTATGTGTGCAGGCAAACACATTTGCATGGCTAGGAAAGGAGGAAGAAAACCGTAGAAGAAAAATACATAACTCAAAGTTTACTGTGACCCTCCGTTTATAAAGATGGGTGTGAAACCACTGTTGAACTGAAGCTACCCAGTGATGTGTAACTGAGGATAAATAAAAACAAACAGCATTAACAGAACCCATAGTGAGCTGCAACCAAGCTAGAAAAAGTCAGCTTAGCTAAGGTAAAACAAACCTTTTATAAACACTATAAAAGCTCCGTCAAAAAAAAAAAAAAATTCTTCCAAATACTTTGTGGACCTTTTCATATTGCTGCAGCCCATAACACAGCGGTGAGAGTTCAGGATTCAGCCCCCTCCAGATGGGACAAGTGGAAAGAAACTTTGCAACCAAAACCAGAGGAACTAATATTTTTCTGAGTCCAAATTGCAAAGAGCTGCAGTTGTAGAACTGCTGGTAAATAGGATACTATTTTTGAATCATGTAAAAGCAACTGTAGATTTGACTGTTTTTTGCTGTTATTAAATGGTGTCTTGAGAAAACATAAAAGTATTGGATGCACCTAAACAGATGACATGAAAAACTGAAGAATAAATTTACAGATAGGAAAACCATCAAAACAATGCAGTCAAGAATGTACAGGCAGTAAAACATCTGATTAGGCTCTAGAAAATTTGAACAAACCCTGGCAGTTTAGAACAAGCAAAAAAGACTGTAGAGGATTCCTCTATCCATAAAGCTGCATCAACTGCTTATGCCACTGGATTCAGCTCATCAAGCTCAGCAAAGGTATGGATTAGGCTCTATACAAGGGCTTGAAAAGTCTATATTTAGCTAAACTGAGCAGATGAGACCCTTGGGCACCGCGAAATGGCTACAGAAGGAGGTATGAAAAGCTACTGCAATGGGAAGGGCTTCAGTGTGGTGGGAGCTATTGTTCTGAGAGCAGTAAAAATATTTAGCTAGAACAAAACGGGAAAGTAAAAATAACTGACCTCATCCTCAAACTGTCCTATAAAAGATGCAGTCAACTGTTCCAACTACAGCATGGGTTTTAAATCAGGTAGTAGCCCAAATAAGCTTTGAATAATCTGGTAGTAGCCCAAATCTGCCGCATCCTCTGTTCATTAAAATTACAGGTACTTGTGTACCTTAGCTGATCTTAAACCTAAGCGTGTCCCCTTTCCTCAGGGAATAGGGCTGACTCGCAGGGTATTTCCATCAGCAGAACTGTTTGCACGCTTGCACATGAACAAGGGCATAAAAACATGAATTTTCATAGTTAGATACACATTCATGTAGCCTATTCCTAAAGAATATTCCTACCAGAGCAGGAACAAAGATTTCCTGCTGGGCTGCTGTTTCCACAGCAAATTCATGCCTGTGGATGAGAAACACATGGAGATTGCAAGTCTTTGGCGGAAGTAGCATGAAGTCCTGGAGGTGTCGCCAGGTAATTTACACACGCATCTTTTCCTCGAGATGATTTAATTAACAGTAGAAAATAATAATAATAATAAAATCTCCAGATGAAGAAAATCATCTCCTCTCCATCAGCTGAGTACTGCCCTTTCCCTCAACCCCCTAAATTCCAGCACAAATGCTGCTTTGTATTTTGAATCTTCTTTTTTTTTGTGATAATGCTCCATTTTGGCTGCACAATTTCTTTTTTCAGTCCCATTTGCCTGAGCTAAATTGAAACATAGAAAATGCTCACGTCAAACATTTGCCTCCCTGCAATGATCACATGGGCTGAGCGTTGGGGCAGCCTCCAGCCACGGGCCCTGCTGCAGCCACACACATTAATCTGTCAACATGACCCCTCCGTGTGTTACCATCAACAGAGAAGAGCTGGGAGAAGCTCTGACAAGCCCTTTTGTGCAGTCGTTCAGATGTGCCGAGATGAGCAGGGAAGTTCTGCAAAGGAGGGGCTGCAGCTCCAGGAAGGAAGCAGAGATTCCAAAGTGCAGCTTGAGCTGGAAACGGGCCTGGTGATGGAATCACAGCCAGCACAGCGGGGCTGGAACAGCTCGAAGGGATGTGGGAGGAGGCTCTCACTGATCACGAGATGGAGAAGACCATAGCAAGAAGCACTGATGCTCCCTAGGCCTATGGGGAAGACTTCTGAGCAACGGCAGGAGTCGATTTGATCCATTTGTGTCAGTAGTCCGAGAAGCATGAAGCCTGCAGGACTGCAGAGCACTGGGCTGATGTCCCAGCAGGATCCCAGGACGCCGCAGGAGCCCGCAGACCAAGGAGCACGGCACGAAGCGCCAGCACAGCACGCGAGGAGCACGTGCGCGAGGTCCTCCAACCAGGTACTCGGGTGTGGACACAGGTGCAAACCCCATGTCCTCTCATGAAGCATCTACAGATCTCCCTGACAGTTCTCACCATCTGTCTCCAGCCACTACTTTTTACCTGTGTGACAAGAAGTTTTGCAGGGCCAAGTATATCCTTCTTGGCACAGGACATCAGGTGCCCAAAGAAAATTGGAAAGAGAAAACTTCTAATTGCTGAAGGGCAAAGAGGAGAAGAAAGAAAATGCTCCCAAGATGTCCTGGAAAGGCTTTCATTCACTGCAAATCAGTATGAACACATCAGAGGCTACAGCAATAACACATCACCTGGGAATCAGGGAAACATCTGGTGCTGAAGGTCACGGTGCAAGACATGTAAGACAGCAAGAAATGCAGATGGGAGAGAGACAGAGGCTAACACGGCTAATAAATACTATTCTGCTTCTTTTGCCTAACCTGTAGAAAACTCGTTCCACATTTTCACTCAATGCTTTTAAGGTGGAGTAAGAGAATAATCATTGTGCAGCCAAGAACTGCATCTTGTTGGAATTATTTAAAACAACTGAATAGCTGGGTTTAAAATGTTATTAAAATAATTTACTCAGGTTGAGACAGTGTAAAACTAATTTGACAATCAAAGTGAAACAGTACTACTGACGTATTTGAATTTTACCAAAAGTGTTACAGGCTCAAATAAATAAATAAATAAAAATAGTGAAAAGTAAAGCCTTTGATATTGTAGCTATTTATACTGATATATCACACATTTTACAGTGATTTACGTATATTTTACAGTGACTTATATGAGAATTAGTGCAAAGAGAAGTATTAGCAAGCAGACAATACAAACTGCATTATTAGAAACCTTGCCATTTGTCACTTTAAAGCAAAATTGCTTATGTGTTCACAGTTAAGAGATGCTCAGGTTTCAGTATTCTAACAAAGCTGAGTTTCCATAAATAGGAAAATTTGGCTCATGCAGCCAACTACCTATTTCCACAAAACACACAAATTTTTGAGATGTGGTTAGAGCTAAACCAGTGACCTGAAAAGTCATTTTGGGGATCAGAGACGCATATAAGCATCGTTTTACTCAAAAACACAACAACAAGTAGTAGCAGGAGAGCAAAGCATGCCAAGGCAGGCAAGGGCTGCTTGACAAAACAAGGACCTTGTTGAAGCAGGACTTTACAAGGGAGAGAATCCTAGATAGCTACCCAATAACTAGCATTTTGTTTCAGGAGGCAGAAGTGGCTCCTTTGTAGATACCTGCCTTTAGTGCCCTGGAAGCATAGATCCAGAGGGAAAGAACTCCTTCCAAAACAAAAGCACACCTGTGGAGTCCCCGGCAGGAACAGCACTAGACTTCAGCAACTCGCAACAGTAAAGGCAAGCAAAGCACAGGGAAGCCTGCAATATTCTAGGCTTCTATGCATTAATTAGAAACAAGCCAGGAGGAGGATTTCTGAGAGAGTTCGGGCTCTGCACCCCGGTGCCCTGCACTATCCGGTGCCTCCAAGCTGCGGTGACGTTGCCATCTGCTGACCTGCATTCCCGCTCCCGGCCGGAGCCAGCAGCGCTGGGTGTCAGCGGGTCCTGGTGCCACACGTGGGGACACCCGAGAGGCTGCTCCCGTCACTGGGACACCAAGGGACCCCAGCAGCGCCCCATGGCAATGCGGAGACAAGGGGATGCTGCGCCATGAAAACCGGAGTGGGAGGAGGAACCAGGAGCTTGTGTTCTACATGTCGTAGGACTCTCTTTAATCCCAAATAAATTATGTAATGTCTCTGACTAAGTATAGCTAGCTAATATGTGCTCTGTGATTTGAGGATGATAATCTGCGCTGTAGTGTGTGGTAGTGCTACGCACACACGGGTCCCCTGCTTAGAGGTTAGTCTCCACTGCTCGCATGTTCTCTTGGGAGAGCTTACAAATAAGTGTTTTCCTTGGAATATTATCCTCTCCCATTTCACAAATCCACGTGCCTTCACAGGTACTAAACCAATAAAATTTACACTAGGATTTCTAAAATTGGGAGCCCCAGGCTAAGGTGCCTCTTGGACCTCAAAGTGATTAGTTTGGGATCATCCTCTATGGAGCAGGAGCTCAGTGCCGCTGCAGGGACAACCGCCAGTCCCATTGGGCAATGCCAGCAGTCCCTGTGCTGTCCAGGAGCAGCAAGCAGAGCGGCCAACCCTGGCATGGCGTATTTTTGGGAACCAAACAAAAAAATGCTCCTTTTATATCCTCTAACCTCCTGGCAATAACAACAACTTTAAACCAAAAATACAATGTATTTGGAACAAGAAGGATTACCCTCCTGCAGCTTACAAAAATCTTTAAGGGAGTTCTCTGTTCTGCAGATTTTGACAGTTCTCCCAAGACTGCCACAGGCAGGGAGGAAGCCAGGATGAGCTCCGGGCAGTAGGTCACCAGATCGCTCCTTGCTATTTCATCATGCCAAAGGGAACATAAACTATGGACTGGCAAACTTTGCACCTCAGTGGAGAAATTTGCAAACAAAAATTGCCACCTGGGCACAAACAAGTGGATACAGCTTATCCCAGGAATACTCCTCCAACATGGGATGTCAGGGCATTCAGATAACCCCAACAGCACCCACACCTCCGACTGCTTGAACAATTTCTGGGTTTTGACAGGAACGGCAAGGCTGAAGCCATGACAGTAGGAAAGTTTTTGCCAACAGTACATGTTATAAAAGGATGTATTCCAGCAAAAAAGCCCAACATCATTGCATTTTGGTAACTCCTACTGCAGCTACAAACAGGATGGACCGTGAAATGTGTTACTGCCTCTTCGTGAGAGGGCACCGGGCACAAGCCTTGACCAGCGAGGAGCGTTATGCAGGATTAAGGTCAACCCAGCAGGCCATAAGCAGCTTCCCACAACACCCGTATGAAGGCCCTGATGGGGAAAAGCGCAGGGACTGGACAGCCCTGTCATTGACTAACGTTCTTCCTCTTGGAATACGCTGCTGGGCTGACGTGAAAAACCTGAGCCTACTGCACCCAGCGAGAGGGAAGTGCCACCTCCGAGGCGTGGGGGTGAGACACGTACCTGGTTTTGCTTTATTTACCACTTGGGAATCCTTTGGCCATGCGGGGGGCTGTTGCCTGCTCTTTTCGACGCTCACAGTACACTGCGAGTTAATTACTTGCTTATAAAGCAGAAGTCCTTTCATTTTAGAAAGGAGAACGGACTAACCCTGCGTTACGGTCCGGTACAGAAATGCAAATCAGACTGTACTGCAGCAAGGAGCTGCCCTCGCCGCCCCTTCACCCTGTCCCGCAGCCAGTTGTACGAGTTTTGTGCCTTGGATAACTTCCCTCTTTGGCTGAGTCACATGTTTTGCAATTTTTTTTTCCAAGCTTGTTTGCAGTTGTGGTATGTGCATCAGAGAATTAGCCCTTTGGGAGAAAGACTGAAATACTTGACCTCTATAAAACTATTTGTAAAAGTGAGTGAAATCAGGACCTCCCCGAAAAACAAACTTTGCAACCAGCTAAGCCAGGTGTGTATATATTTTTTATTTGCAGATGCCTGAGTGACTGCATAGATGTCACTAGCTATGACAGGTACTCAACACATCCTGAATTGAGAGAGAAAAATCTTCTTTTTTTCTGGTGCAAATACCCTATCTCTGCAGTATATGGCCATTAAAGTTTACATTCTATCTGCCCCTTAATCTCCAACACATAACTGCAAAGTTCCATAGACACAAGTCTTTCCAATCCCATTGAGGTGAAATACCAAGCTGCTCTACTTGGCCCATGGAAGTTCCAAGCCACTCTGGAGAGCGAAAAATCACCATCAAATCAAAAACAAACGTTAGCATTTTTCAGAGGGAACATTCCGATTTCAATGAGAGTTAAAAGAAAAGTATGTATGGGAACAAAGGCAGACATTGAGAATTTAAATTACTTTTATAGGATTACAGATTTTATGCAATCAACAATATCCAGATTGTTCAAGCCTGAGACATAAAACAAATTTTAAAACTCTATAAACAAATTATGCTTCGCAACTGAGACTATCATTATAGAATATGTTTCTCTAAGGTATAATAGTTTCATGCCTCTCATGCAATACTATTAATGATAATCTGTTCTTTGTTGTTGTTTTTGTTAGCAGGTTACTTTTTGTAACCTGAAAACAAATTTCTGTTTTTTTGAATACTAAATGCCTGAACTAATTGAATTGAATACTAATTCCCTGAACTCCCCCATGATTTCTGTTATACCAAGACATTACAAAGGAAACAGAAGTTTAAGCCATTCTGAGTAGTTACTATTTGCAAAAGGCCGGATTGCTGCTATAAATATAAATGGTTAAACTACTCCAGTGCCTTAGATGCATAAAGCCCATTTTCAGCCACTGCTTACATTCAAAATACCATAACTGAGGTTCTTAAAAATTTACGGGAGGCAGATAATCCTTGCACAGATTGCATTGCATGCTACATCACTTTTTTTAAAAATAACATATTAGAAGAAAAAAAAATCACCCTAAAAATTTGTAAAATCAATACAGAAAAGGAATTTCTTTTCCTTGAAAGCTGGCACCTGAAAGAAACTGAGATAAAGGGTACAAGTTTCAAAAACTTCTCAGAAGCCCCTTGAAAGCCTATGTCTGATTTTCATTAGCAGTATTTAAACTCAGAAGTTTATAATCCATAGTGTTAGTTTTATTTACTCTTCAAATGATCACTGGTTCTCACCAAATTGCTGGTCCCTCAGCCACTGGCCAAGAAGCCCAACACTTCCCACTAACCCAACCCGCTGTGGGGAGTGTGAATACAGGGAGGATCTTTTGCTTGGTTCCAAATTCGCAAAAAAATAAAAAAAAAGGTTTATAGTTTTGCGTGACACGAGCTCCGCGGCATGTGAAAAAGCAGCGCCGAAGCATCTTTCCAACATCTCCATTCCACCAGGGATGCACAATGACAGTCTCTCCAGGTATTTTATTAAAAACTTTTTAAGACCTCAGGCCTGTTTCCACAAGCCGCTCACTTTAACACACATAGTTAG